AAAAGGCGCCCCTCTCCCCGAACATCTGCAAATGCCAAGCAAAAACGAGAACCGAAAGAACGCCGATCCTCCCCCCTCCCCCCCTCCACCCAACACCGAGCGTTCCCAACACCGGGCGCCCTCCAACACTGACCGCCCCCAAACACCGGCCACCTTCCCAACACTTTCCTCCCCCCTCCACCCCATCATGAACACTATGAACCTCCCACCATGAACAATCCGCAACCACCCCCACCCCACACATAACGCCAAAGTGAGCAGCGTTAGACCGCTCACCGGCGCCTGTGCACTACATATACCTCAGTCTACCGTACCCACAAAACACCGCTTTGAATCGTGCTGTGTAATGTAGCACAATATCACCGCTTCGAGAACACCGGTGTCGAGCTCGAGGGCAGGGGAAGGGCGGAAACATCGAGTGGAGGGGCGGGGCAAAGGTAGGGAAATATGATGGAGTACCTCAAAGTTTGATGCAAAAACGCATGATCGCACCGGCCCGCCTGGTGCGTTCCAGCCTGGGTTATTCCTTTCCAACCTTGTTCTATTCGCTTTTTGGGAAAGAATGCCGGACAGATCATATTTCTTCTTAATCTTTCTGAATTCCCAGCTCACTCACTTATGATTCATCTACATTTCTCAGTGGCTATTACCCGTACAAAAAACGGAAATAAACTGCTTATATGGATAGCCGGGACAACCAGTAGTAGGTGGTTATGTATTTTCCTATTTTTTCATTCAAAATTTTTCATTTTGACCAAAAAATAATTCGTTTGATTAAGCACCCTAACTGAGCACAAAGACGTTGTTGTGACGGATCACAACAGTCGTAAAAATTTTACAGTTTTCGAGTACCTGTTTTTTTTTAATACTTCATTTCTTAAGTTTCAGTAACATTCTGTTATGAAAAATTTGATATGAATAAGGTCCCCTTTTGCTTTATTGGAATTTCCCTTCAGGAACTTTGAATTTTTTTCCTCTGAAATTGCGGAATTTTTTCTTGATGATCTACTGCATAAGATCATCAATTTTCGCAAACAAATCATCTCGTTTCATCTCAACCACACTCGACGCGGTGGCATCACTAGAGCCGAAGATTATGCCGACCCCGTCACCTGCTCTTCGCTTGAATGCTCACTGAACAGCGATTTCCGTCTTACTTGATGATATCTTTTTCTGACATTCCGCAGCAGATGTAAACTTGGTAAAAGAAGCAGAGATATCACCTCGTTGTTACCGGCTCTGCTTCTTTTCAAGCCAATGCGATAATTGTCACCATAACGAAGAAAATAATAATAAGACAACAAGCGATCAAATGGTTCCCGTATTAAATTTATGTACACCGGATTTGGAAATCCAAACCTGCAACACACGCGGATTTGCAAAGCTAAAATCTGACAAATGGATCGGCAAACTCAAGCCTATGCCATAAAAATGTGAAATGCGAAAATTCGTAACGCAACAGAAAAGTATAAAATTAAAAAGTGGCTTAGTTTTCACAAAATTAAGCTCATCTAACGGATATAAAACCAAAATCGGACGGCCTGGCACAGATGCGCTCGGCGTTTAACAGCATCTTAATAACAATACTAAAGGGGGTCCCCATACTGGCAACCTAAGCGGTTTTGGCATTTC